GGGCATGGCGCGGGGGGGGGGCCGGTACAGCCATCAGCCCCGGCCTATGCCCACTGCGCCTCCTTGCTGCTGTCCATGGGCAGGATCAAGGGTGCAGGGGAGGTCCCTGCCCTCGGGGCGGGGGGGAGGGAGGAGGAGCCCAAATGGCCTTAAAACCAATGATTAAGGGTAATAGCAGCAGTGGCCACACCCAGCCCGGACGGCATGGCGCGGGGGGGGGGCCGGTACAGCCATCAGCCCCGGCCTATGCCCACTGCGCCTCCTTGCTGCTGTCCATGGGCAGGATCAAGGGTGCAGGGGAGGTCCCTGCCCTCGGGGCGGGGGGGAGGGAGGAGGAGCCCAAATGGCCTTAAAACCAATGATTAAGGGTAATAGCAGCAGTGGCCACACCCAGCCCGGACCCAGCGGCTCCCCTCTCCCTCCCGGCCCCCTCCAGCTGCCCCCAGCCAGGGAGAGAGATACTCCCCTTGTTAGCCCTGCCCTGTTCGCTCCTGCCAAGAAGTGGGGTGTGACCCCCTACTGGGGGTGGGGTCAGGACATGAGTGGGTGGGAGGGCTCGGGAGTGTGGCTTGGACCAGCCCCTCCCCCCTGCATGAGCAGGCAGGCGGCAGGGGGTCTTAGGCCTGCCTGGGGCAGTGTTCCCTGGAAGCTGAGTGTTTGGGCACTCAGCCGGCAGGGTGTGGTGGTGCACAGCTGGACATGCCTCTGTGCACCGAACAAAAGTTATTCCACACATGGATGGAAAAATTCAGAGGCCACCCTATGAGGGTGGGCAGCAGGGGGCTCAGGCTGGTCCTGCGCATGCGGGGAGGCCCTGGGGCGGTGGACGGAGTGGGGACTTGTGTGGGAAGGCCAAGGTCATCGGGCTGCCCCACTGCAGCCCTCCCTCCCTCGCTCTGCGGCCAGGCATGCAGGGCGCTCCTATCCCCAGAGGGGCCTTCCAGCCGAGTAACCCAGAGCACAAACCCGCTACCTTTTAACCAGCTTCTCGTAGTCTAGCGCCTTCTTCGTCAGCTGCAAGCAGAACCCAGGCTCAGCCTCTGCCCGGCTCGCACGGCTGCCCGGCCGGCCCCGCAGCTGGGAGGCAGAACCCCCCGGCCCCAGCGAGGGAAAGGGGGGTCTCCCATTTCGGGCAGGAGAGGGCAGGGAAGCAGGGCTGAGGGAGCTCTGTGGGGGGCGCTCTCCACGCCCGGGGAGGGCAGGGCTCGGTGTGGGGCGATCGGGTACCCGCGCTCAGGACTGGGGTAAGAGGAAAGGAAAACGGGGCTCCGGCCGTGGGCAGAACCTAGCCATGGGGAAGGTGGTAGGACACCAGCCTCTTCCCTCTACGACACTGGTGAGCCCCGCACCCCACAGCCCCCTGGACTCCTGTCACCCAGGGCGCCCACAGGCCTTAGGGAGGCCCAGGTTGGCCTTCCCAGGCCGCCCCCTTCCCCTCCACTGTTCTGAGAGAGCAGGGGCTGCCCTCCTGCCCATCCCCAGGGCCCTGGCTCCATGACAGTGGTAGGACACCAGCCTCTTCCCTCTACGACACTGGTGAGCCCCGCACCCCACAGCCCCCTGGACTCCTGTCACCCAGGGCGCCCACAGGCCTTAGGGAGGCCCAGGTTGGCCTTCCCAGGCCGCCCCCTTCCCCTCCACTGTTCTGAGAGAGCAGGGGCTGCCCTCCTGCCCATCCCCAGGGCCCTGGCTCCATGACACACACCCCTCCCTTTCCCAACAA